GTATTGTCTCGCGGCTTTTCCTGTTTCACATGTGCTATTTACCCCTCCCCCCCTCCCCTCCTCCCCCGCTCGACGGCTCGATTCGATGAGGAGGGACAGAGGGCCGGAGGGGAGGGGTCGTACGGACTCGACTAAAATCCCAACCAATGGTGTGCTCTGATCTGAAGAAAAACTCCGCAATACAAAATTATAAGTTTAGGAAAACAGACAATATACAGTGCCCGAAAATGCAGTAAAACCGAAGGCGTGGGAGAAACGAGTGCACACAACATCACTGAATACTGTCTATGCAGTCCCAGATCAGATGGAAAGCGAAATCAGCGTCGCTCTGGCTTCCTGATTTTACTCCGGATCCTCCGTTCAACTACAGTGAAATTCGAGCGGATTTTCGCTGTAGTTGTGCTACAGCAAGCAGTTGTGCTCATTCAGAAGAGAACAGCTTCTAATTCCCAGTGCCGTATAGAACTCCGCTCTACGTTACGTTAGCACGAAGCTATCCTTAATGAAATGTGAAGAATCGCCCAAAATTCTGGCCAGAAGCCGTCTGCAAGCCTTGGTCAAACCTGCAGTGTATTTCTACAGAGCCTGATCGTTCAACTTGATTCGTCCGTACAGCTCAGCGAAAGATGGTTTCTGAAAGAAGAAGTGACCTTTCAAAAATACAATGGGCAACGCAATGGGCCGATAGCCCTAAGCACAATAGGCGCAGCTGCACTTGCCTTCGTGTTGTTCTCTTGGAGGACGTTATTGTGAGTTCTTTCGAAGTTCCTTTCCCTGAATTACACTACTTCCAGGGAACAAATCCCATCAAATTTCAATAGTTTTGCTCGGTTGATTGGTATTCTCACAACACAAAACATATACAGCTTCATTCAGAAGAACACGGCAGATACTTCCACACCCTCCACTGCTGAGGAGGAGGGGGGGGGTCCTACGGATACCCCCTTCTAGGGGGAGGTCCCATATTTCCGCAAAGTGATGCTTGACCTTCTCCCAACCTCCGGGATATGTAGAGATGAAAAGCTACTGCATTGGCCCATACGTTCTGGGACACTTTTCCTTCCGCGCTGCTTCTTCCCCTCTATTGTTCATTTACAATCCATGACGTTCCCACCATTGATATCCACGACGTCCAGACACACAACCCTTACCTGTGGGGTCTTTACTATCTATCACTTTAGATGGTAGCAAGCTCTCGCTATGAAGTTGTAGTTTCCAGTCGAGAGGCGTAAATTATGTAGTCGAAGTGTGTGGCAAGACAATCGTAATCTGCCGTGCTGGTGGGCGTGGCGAGCGGCGCCGCGGCAGTGGATGAGCAGTCCTACGAGGTTGTTTGCATGTGAGTGTTCACGGGATGGGAGAATTTTATAGCGCTCGTCATGGAAGTCTTGTGTCCGCCTGAATTCGTAAGGGTTCCCGCTCCAGCCGGCGCGCTGATGCACATCGAGAATTCGTCGCGCATCACAGCACGACAAGCCGCACTTGACGACGACAAATTGCGATTGTCTTGTCCGTCTACCGACGGACTCACCGTGGATGGAGAACTTGAGTCCAGTAGAGACTGCACAGCTTCATCTAAGTCAGTTTCGTGATGAAGAGACTTTCCGTTTCTTCTTCGCTCACCCGTCTCGTCAATTAGCAGAAAACGGGCTGGAGGGTGCCAAAGCCAGCCTCATATGACCCCCATGTTACCAACAAGCAAATTCCGGACTTACAGAGGAATGAAGGAGTCGTGCTGATTCCAGACCTATAACCATCGCGATAAGCGGAGGGGTCCGCAGGGACGAGGATTGCGTACGTATTATTTGCCACGGGATGCGAAGAGTGTTCAACGGAGCAGGCTGGGAATAAAACCGACGCTAGCCTTCTGCACAAGTTACTGAAGTGGGTAGACAATAACTGGCGGATAGCGGACCGGCGTCGCGCCAAACCCAGTTCGCTGACACGCCCCAACGAGATTATGGAACACCGCCAGCCATTAAGTACCCGGGGGGATAGGCCGGACCACGACGATGGTAGAGTATGAAGAATCTAGCACAGCTTGACATCCTTTGGAATATTCCTAAAGCTCTGCCTCCGAAGTGTTCAGGGAACCCTGGCCAGTCTCAAAGGTCAGGCAGTACCTAGCCCTCTAATGCTCGAGGGAGGGACTGTGAAGAGTTCTTCGAACTGATTAGGGCATACAGCCTTCCACTTCTACATTCAGTATAAATCGATTAAGAATAAAAGGGCCCGGTTTGACGCGGTGCACCAGAGCCCTAGTTTGTTGTCACCGGACATGCTCTCGCCTTGCGCAGGTCCACGACGGGGTATTTTATCCATCGCATCTACGGGCCCAGTAGTTGAAGGGAGAAGGTAAAGAAGGAGGGAACAGAGAAGGAAGGAAGGAAAAGAAGGATGGAGGAAGAAAAAAAGGAAAGAGAAGAGAGGCTCCGCGGTTGACAAGGCCTGAGACGCCGTCTGTAATTGAGACTTCTGTGCACTTGCACAAGATAACCGCTCTCAAACAACGTCAACCGGATAGTTCGGCGCTTTGCTTATTTGCAGCTATTAACAGTTTCTTTTAGAAAGGTCTACCATATAATGAGCCCTGATAAGATTAATAACACATTCTACTTTAAGAAGTTCCGGTCCGATCCCGGGCTTCATCTCGGGCCCCAACATGAAGGTCAAAATGATATCGCGTAATCCAGATGATTATCAGAGAGAAACCAATAAGGATATATACAAAGGTGAGGCTGTAGTAATTACTAGTTAATTTTTTATTGTAAGCTGTTGTGTAAAATTTATAAGTACTGCAAAAATAATTCGATGAGTTTTTCATTTCCATGTATTTCTTTTCTTTCCTTCTATTCTTCTTCGTGAAACAAGTGTTTGCAGTGGTACGCAACTGGAATGCCCCTCCCGATCCATTTCGAGCTCAGACAGAATATACTCGTGCACTGAACGCAACGAAACTGGAGAGAGTCTTCGCAAAGCCTTTCGTTGCCAGTCTTGACGGCCACGTTGAAGGCGTTCATATCCTCGCCAAGCATCCTAGTTAGTTCTTCTTTTAACACATATTGAGGTAGGATATAGGGCGTCCAGAGTCAGCACTGCGCAAAAACTAGTGTCACTAGCTAGCTGACTCGACACTGCACTTTGACGTCGAATTCGTTAGGTCACGGCTGTCTATGCCCTACACTGCCTATTTCACGGACTTGCGCAATTGCTTTTTTCATTTGTAACTCCATATTAAGCCCATGTCTCAATGACTGCAATGAGCGATCCTCAGAAGTTGAAGTAGAGCGACTAATGGCGCGACCTCCCCCCCCCTCCTTAAGGGACATTCAAGAGTATCCATTTACGTGAATAAAGTTTCTGTAGTGGGGATGGTTTTGTTCTTCAGGCCTATAGGGGAAAGGAGCTGCGGGATTGAAGAAATTTCAAATACGGTAATTCTATTCGGATGACTCTCTTTCGGATTCGAATATAGTTCTGAGTCTGTGCAAGGAGTCCTTTAGATACTTGCGAAGGATTTGCCCTGAAGCGCTTCCTCGATTGTTGGACTTTCAAGGTTAGTCTTGAGTTAAACGGTATGGACGAAAGCTGCCCCATCACGTAATTGATTTCACGCCAATTTGTTCTCTTGGGTCAGCTAGGATTAATGACTATTTCGTGCGCAAGGGCACCCGAGATCAGAACAATACCTTCCATCGGGTAGGTGGAGGTGGGTGAGGAGACCGCTCGCTCCGTATAGCTTTCTCTAATCAAGGCTTGGGCTCAGTAGCGACTATTCATGCTCTGCAAGACTGTCTCTCTGCGACTCCGATCGTTTGAGCCCTAAGCCTAAGACTTTTTTTGGAAAATGTGGAGAGGTGCGGTCGAGTTGTCTTGCTCACTACGTTAGCAACTTCATATCCGTGTATGGGTGCGAGACGTTGTATGCACCTGCGAGTTGCAAGCCCCGTCACGTGCGCATAATTTGCACCAAGACCTGGTAAATTGGACGCAGAAGTGCGGTGTTATGACGAGTCGACTATCTAGGAAATAGTTGCTTGTTTGTGCGGTTCGCCGTAATCTGTATGTAAGGTATGTGACACGGCACTAAGGCATTCGTGGGGGGGGGGGAGGGTGAACTTTACAGCATCTACGCGTCTCTTAGCCAAGGCTAAACGAGAGTGCAGATGATCACTGTCGCTGCGAGTTATTCAGCGAACAATCCCCACGCGACGCTGACCGTATGCGCTCTAAGCTCGAACCCTAGGTATGGGAAAAGTCGCAGAGACGCTCTGGATAGGTCCTCCCTCTAACGCTTTAGCGCCACTTACGTATTCAATTACAGCCGCAGTCGTAGCTCTTGCTAGACTGCAGCTCATTTAAAAAAATTGGGGCTGTTAAGAACTAGCATAATTTCCGTTGTGGGGAGATGAGGCATCTCCACTCATGCCTTTTTCTTTAGAATTGTTTGGTTCTTCTCAGGTTTTTATACTTCGCTTCACTCACTCACTGTATCTTTATAGATCGTCCTTCCATTGTTTTGTCTGGAGCACGCGATGGACAAGTTATTGTTTGGGCACTTGCACGACGACATCGACTTGCTACTTTCCAGACACATAATGGCCCTGTTAATGGTACAAACATTTACTCAATTTATGTTTTCTGAGCGGTAGTGCTGTCGTGACAAGAGCGTTTCTTACCGCGCCCATGGTCCAGGAAACATATCTCGGGTCGACTCCCGCCCAGGCCAGCCCAACCTGAAATCCTTACAAGATGGTTAAATTTAAATGGTACTCATTGGCAGGTCCTGAGAGATCAAGACGATGACCTTAGTGGAAGGCGAAGTTATTAGAAAGATCAGATTGCGTTCGGAATGTCGGTAAGACTCGGAGTAGAAAAGCGGCGCGTTCAAAAAAGGTTTACCGGAACCCTTACTTGTCCTACTGTTTATATTTTCTTTGTCAGGCTCGCTGCCATTTGCCGAGGTTGGTTCATAGCCTGCATTCGCTGTGGGATAGCTCCTCCAAGGAAATACACTCCCACGTCTACAGAAAGTGAAACGTATCAGGTCCCTCTCCTCCTATCTGTCCTCTTGTAGTCAAAGCCGAGACTGACTGCGAGTCCCCCTTTTCCCCATACTCTTGACCGTTTCATGGCATTTGAAGCTCTCTGAAAAACTTGAACCCATCGCTTGGATCGCGCGAGCGACTGGGTCGAAATTGCGGAGTATGAATACTCTCCAAAGCCAGTGGGTTATCATTTCAAATAATACCCAGCATCCATATCCTTTGTTTTCAGGTATTTCTGTGGACGTTGCTGCCGGCAACAGTTTTGTTACAGTAGGACAGGATTGTACCATTAATCGATGGAGACTACCTCATACTTCAAATACTATTGGTGGTATTATTTGCGATCAAGTGGATTCAATCAGTTTAGATGGTTAGTTGATGTTGCAGATTAGTGACTAGAAAGGCTCCACTTTAATTCTACTTGCTCGCTTATGAGTTCGTGGGCTTCAAGCTCGAGATCAGCAAATGGAACAGGCTGGGCTCTGGCTTGTTCCACCTGGTGATCCCATTTTTAAGCAAGTTGGCACGATGAATGAGTGCTCGGCCTAAAATGCTAGTAGGGCGCTATATACTGGATGAGAACGGAGTGAAACGGTCAAAATCCTGCGAAGAAAGAGCCTCCGTTCTCAATGTGTTAGTAATCAATTTTGGACGAGTTTCCGTAGGCATCTTGCCAATAACCGCTACCGAAGGTACGGCTGCATATGTGTACTCATATATCCATGCAGCATCACGGCCGCTTCATACCAATCTTCGCTTCATAATTTGCTTAGCAAATGAATCAATTAGAGCGTCTGGAACAGTCGTCCATTTGTGGGCGGGCGGGCGTTTGGGTCGTAATGTTGTGGCTTGATAGGGCCCTTATAAGGGCACCTCCCTTGGAAAAGGCATTATGCAGCGCCTGCTCAGGGTCGCGGAATTCCGTCCTGCCAGGCGTATTATCCTGCTCGTCTTGGAGGATTTATCGTGCCAACTGCCGTTAATCTTTTTGGGCTGTAATAAATGCTTTTCAGGAGTACCCCATGCCGTTTCTCATCTTGCTAACTCTTCGAATTTCGTAACATGTGGTGATGGAGTTACAGTTTGGGGTGCTCAAGGGTGAGAACGAATTTCTTTTACTTTTTTCGCTCTTCTGTTCTCACTGCTCTTCACTATTGACTGCTGATATACTCAGTAGTTTCTGCTGGCGGTACCGTGACTCTTATTACTAAAGTTTTCTTTGGGCGCGCTTCCGCATTTCACGGAAGCTCTTTTCGTAAATTCCTGTCAATATACCTCTGTAATTAAGAGTTTCGCGACATTCTTCTAGCTCTGTAAACTTTTCTAGTGTCGCGAAATGATGCAAATCTGGGCGCAGTCGGCTTATTATGGGTGAAGTCGGGTACTTGATCAAGAGCCTCCTCGTGGAGATCCTGTAAACTCCTGTGGCCAAAGTGGTTCACTTGGGTCAATTTTTAGCTTCACATGTGTCTCACCAAAGAGAACCTCTTGCTGAACTGAATATTGAATAACAAAAGCAACGAGCGACATTTCGAAATATCCCTTCAAGCACCTGGATCTGTTTTTTTTTTGATGCCGATAGGATCTGTAACTTACAGTAAGCTGAAAACAACGGGGAGTGGCTGCGAAGAAACGGGTGCGTCCGCGGGCTAGGTGGACCGATCCTCTGGAACGAGAAAGCTCTTCTGGTTCGACAATTTGATTCAGCCTGCCATGAGTCTTATGAACTCAGCGCACACCTTTCTTAATTGACGATCGTTCTTTGCTTCTTTCGACACTCAATATGCGTGCATTCGAATAATAGTCAAGAAAAAGTGGCGTGAAAGTGATACGTACTCACTTTGAAGGTATTATCAAGCAGTTGCGACAGTTACTATTACAATGATCTTTCGGGGCTTGTTTTCGATAGAAGTTTGCGGAGGGTCTGGATTAAGAAACAATAACCCATACCACGCGGGGTCTGTAGCGGTCGTGATCACCTTTTTTGAGTATTGGTTGTTCTTTAATACCGATTAGGATATTGAGAGCGCTCATTTGAACAAAAGATACGCGAATATGAAGATTGGCCATGAAAGAGCTCATTGTGTACGTGCGAATCCCATAGAAGAAGCGATTCTTGTTGGAGCAACGAGTGATCGTTCAATATTCGTTATCGATACTCGACAAGCTGTCCCTTTGACAAAGGTTTGTGGGTTCCAAGACCTTGATCTTGAGATTCCTTGATTTATCGCTTTTCAGACAACAATGAACTTCGTCCCAACATGGTTGCTTGGAATCCTATAGAAGCGTATACGTTTGCTGTAGCAAGTGATGATTATAAGTAAGTGGAATCTACTGAAACTTGTGAGCACTAACGTTAAGTGGGGGGGGGGCACTAAACCGCGCTCGTGTGGTTTAGAGCTCAGGGAATTGAAGGTTGAGGATTGCAGCGAGGTGGGTTGCGTTTAGTGTTGGTTGGAGTCGTATGTTGGCAGAAAAGATTCCAATGCAGGACGCATTGTTTTGGCTCTCTGCATGTTGAACCATGAAGGAGGGTCACTATCTTTGATGGACTCGCAGACGAGCGAGTACTCGTTCAGCCGCTTATCTCCACTCGATCTACGCTAGCGCCAAAATCTGCTGACGTAGTTTGGAGTGGGGAAGTAGGCGGCTATGCGACTCTGCTTGTGTGCGCTCTGTAAGCCTACGTCTTGGAGAGCAGAAGGGGCAGAAAGGGTCGTGTACCGAACTCTTGATTTTTTTTTTTATCTACTGCGATTTCTTCATTTACACGAATTCATTTGAATGTCAGCATAGTAGAGGGGATGGGCAGGGTGGGGAAACTCGAGGTGCGCTTACTGTGTTCGCTTGTTCTCTAGACTAAGCCTGTTGGGCGAAGGGTCATTACCTCTGTGGGAGAACACAGACGAATAAGAGTGGTCGCGACGCTGTGTCTATCCCCTACAGGAGCACCTCCTTTGTCTGTATATTTATTCCTTACAGTTTGTACACTTTCGATTTGCGGTATTTGGACCATCCGAAGTATTTGCATGCTGGACATACAGCAGCGGTAGTTGATTTGGATTTTTCGCCAACTGGTCAAGAAATCGTGTCAGGATCATTTGATCGATCAGTTCGGATATTTCGTGCCAATGAATCTCGGAAGCAGGTATTTGTGAACTTTTAGCGTTACTTTTCTTCTCAAGTCTGTGTAGTTATTAATTCAATATTTTGAAGGGATGTCTACCATACAAAACGTATGTCGAATGTCTTGTCCGTCCTATGGAGCATGGATAATAAGTTTGTCTTATCTGGCAGTAATGAAATGAATGTACGCGTATGGAAAGCAAAAGCCGCAGAAAAGATAGGTCCGGTGAGTAAGTTCGAATAGTTCGAACAATATTTCGTGTTCAATTGGCTTAGCGCGGAATAGGAACTTTAACATATCGAAACGCCGAGCCATTTTACTGCGACTCCCTATGAGTCTCTTACCTGCCCGTGTGCGTGCATTGCTGGCAATGCACAAACACGCGAAGCAGGAGCAAATGCGTGCGTAGCCGGCAGTTCGCGTGGCATTCAATGTGTTGAAGGAGTGTTATGTAAAGTTTATGTATTACAGCTTGCGCCCCGCGAAAAAGCAGCCTTCGCTTATAGTGAAAAGTTACGTGAACAGTTCAAGGAACACCCAGAGATTCGACGAATTGCACGACATAGAAATGTACCAAGGAGTATTCTTCAGTAAGTTTATCTTTTCTGTTACAAGTGTGCTACAGACCTCTCCTTCCTCCGCCCCTCGCCTCGACGGCGGTTTTTCTTAGAAAAACCCGAAAAGCGTCACGGAAAAAAAACTACGTGATCGGGTCCGGGAGAACTTGCAAACATGGTAGTTAGGATGGCGAAGGGGATCGTACCAGGGGAGCAAATATTGGGGAGGGGTGGTATTTTGCGAAAGTCTGCTCCAACGGCGGGGAGGGCCGATGCTTCTTTCTGTTGTCCGATATGGACAGCATTTTCAAATGAAAAGTGTTATCCAGGATTTTCCATTGCTTGGCTCAATTTCAGAGCTGGCCGTGAACATGCAGCAATCAGAGCCGCGGAATCGCGGAAGGAGTTTAATCGACGGCGAGCTGAATGCATTAAGGATGAGGATGTCGAATTTGTACCATTGGTAAAGAAAGCCATGGTGAAGAAGAGTGGGAATCCGTTATAATAACTGCTGAGATGGTCTATATTGTTGTTGTTAAGTTGTTGTTATTCAATATATACGTACAAAAATATTACAAATGTGATTGAAATAAAGTCCATTGAACTCTGAATCTTTTGTATTGGTGGTATTCGCCAGCCTTAAAGACACATTGCGCGATCACATAATGCGGATAATGGAGTTCGATTATGGATCTGTGATCGATAATTCACTTTCCCGCAAAGGAAAAACTAAAAAAATGGTGAACGTCCTAGTCGAAGGCTCTCTCGGCAGCTCCAGTGTACGAGTTATCGGTTTTGGTGGATCCATGCCAGCAAGTCGATATCCTTAAGTCTCTCTGTACCTCGCGGCTCACAAATCGCGAATCATTCTGACAAATCATTCTTCTTCAGTACTGTACGTCACTCAACCCTGGCAAAAAAATGTTCGATTGTAGCATAAGAACGAAGCCCGTAAAAGAACTAATGTGCGAAAAGTTCCTGTGCAGAATCGGGGTGACGGTAGTCTT